CACCATTCTCGCTTCAACTTCCGTCCATCTTTACGCCTAAAATTAGCTCTCTTTTTCGCTGAAACTGTGTTTCACTTGCTCTTTAAAATACAACATCCTCCGCCTCTCCTTCTCACCCAAATTTCGGGATAGGCTCGTATGTGCTGGTACTGACAAGCATGCCGTACTGCCTCACACAAATTCAGTGTGGCTTGGATGATCGTGATGGAAATAGCGTGACTCAACTTTCACGAAATGGCAATTTGTGAAAAAAGTCGTGTACGATAGTAGGGGGTCCTCCTTAGGTAAAATCCTTAAAATTTAACTTTTATGAAGTTAGTGTCTCATAAAGTGCTTCACATTTGAAAATCCCTGCATAAAGTTTTGAGCGAGAACAATGTTCATATAAAAGTCGTTTCTTGTAAAAATGAGTAAGCAAGGTTATATAAATGCAATTTGATGCAGTTAACTCTTCTAGAATGAACAAAAAGATGATAAAAGTTGTTAACAACAAAAATTCCTTGGTTTTCTATACATCCTATTATTAATCCGCTGCAATAGAAGCTTTTTTCACTAGAAGCGCTGCAAATTCAAAAAAGTTATTTAGTAGAAAAAGTGAAAACTGTTACAAGCATCATCTCATCTTTTGCCCTCTTCGCTACTTCTATTAGCGCCATCATAGTGAATACAGTTTGAACTTCTTTTTCAGTACAAATTTTTTTTTGAATTAGGAAGCTTTCGATTAAAACTCATTTTCTAAGAGGTCAGAATTTGAATACTGATCTCTCACTGGGAAACCGCATCATTTCTCATATCTCAATTGATGAAAATTACATTCGTTTGCATTTCAAGAGTATGAGAAAGTGAGTAGTATTTTCACACTTTTTTACTGCTTGATTGACCAAACTCACTTCCAACCATTTTGAAAATACCACAAAAAAATACTAGCAGCTGTGACAAGATGACCTTCATCATTCGAGTTTTATTCGGCATATTCATCATTGTGTTAAATTTCCCAGGAATGGAAGAGGAGTTTCTTGCCAGAGCCTGATACCCGTATATGCGCATTATACCAATTTTTTTTTGAAAAAGGAGTTTTTCGATTGCCAGATATCGCAACAGGAACTATTGTTTACCGCTGCGCCATTTCATCTATCCTGCTACACTAGTGGTTCTTTCGCTCTGTCACAAAACTCTTGTAGCCACCGTATGGGTGAGATTGGTGGTGGTTCCCCTCATCCGTAAGCCGGACGGTTGTCCACTCTGATTTTTTGCCTCAGTCCTCGTCACAGCTTCCGGCCCTACCAGAACAAGATCCTCTCGTAGTTCATAGCCAGCAACTCAGTCGCAAGACGACGCAACGCAAACACTCCGTCGGCTATTTTTATCCGCTTGTGCACCACCGCCTGGACGAGGTCTATGTTTGAGGAATTTTGGCACACTCGAGGGGCCAGTTGCTCGATGCAGGAAATGCCATGGACGGGAGAGATGTTTAGCAATGTCGATGGGATTTATACAGATGTATAGTGGCAATCAATGACGGCAATATTACTTTGTGATAAGATTCGTAAAATCTGACGTCGAAGGCTACTATTGTTCTCTGACAACTTTCATACGATGTAAAGATGATGCTAGAAGCAGCTAGCGTCTATCGCTATCAGCTTAAATTTAAAAATTTCGACATTTGAGCTCTTTTGCGAGATAATATTGAAAGGAGAGACAATAAT